GAACCTTTGCACTCGACATGAGACCGATTCCTCCAAGGCTTTTCATCAGGACCCTGCCCAACTTTGACCCTATGGATGCGAACCTCGTGATATGCTCGCCCACCTCACAGTTCAATCCCCTGCGTCAAAGTTATCACTCGGCCTCGTCTAATACCTATTAATGCACCCTCCAGTCGCTTTCTTCCGGAATATTCGGTTGCCCGCACGGCCAGTCATCAACCATCGAGCGCGCACAACAGAAAACATTGGCCATGCCCTAACGATCCTGGGCCTGGCGGACCGTTCTCGGGGCTCGCACCAAATTCAAGGTAGGCAGTAGTTTGTTGATAACCTGCAGACGTACCGACTTGATGCCACAAGCGTTTGCTCAAGTGGTCGTGTTGGTAGAAGATTTTTTCACCAGGCGAGCCGGGTTACATCGTCGTGTTCTCGATCGGTGAGAAGAAAGGCAGGCAAATTGATGCCAAACTTCACAAACAGAAGCTTCATCTCTCGCGTCGTGCATTGGTAGGTCTCGCGGCGATGAATTCTTTGTGCCGCGGCAATTATCGATGGCAGCTCGATGCGTAGCCAGGTGTTTCGGCACCAAGTTTATTCTTTGCCACCAGTGACACACGATTGCCACCATAATTGCTCCCCAGGAACCGATATCAGCCGCCACTGGCGGGGAGGATCTTCAGGAGAATGGAATCCCCATTGGACGAGTTTCTCATGTGGCAGGTTAACGTTATCCTGCATCGCCAGACACATCATCCACCCGCTGTCCTGGTGGAGAATGCCCACCGAAGAGGTGGATTCCTCATCTCTTGATCCAGTCATGTAAGGGACCATTGCTTACGGCGCCAAGGAAGAGAGCATTCGTTTCCGGGCAGATGTTAGCTATAGAGTGGGACGTTTCGGTAGCTTCAGGCTCTAGAAGGATAGGTGAACAAATGGGGAAGGGGGGGGGGCACTCCGTGTAGCATTCACCAAGTAGGGCTAAAGGTGTGGCAGATGGAGGTTGGAATGGAGTTTTGTGGGTTTGGAGGTGTTGAATTCTATTTTCCCCACCGACCTGCCTGCATTGAGGGTATATTGAAGGATAATAACAGGACGAATACGCCCTGCGGATCTGCCCTCTTTTGGCAGGCGCAATGTCATGACAACCTTCCATCTACTCGGAGTGATCTTATACTTGATACCCTTTGGTTTTCGGTGCCCTGGAAATTTTTAGGGAACCTCTTCTTATGGGCGTTACAAAAAGAGCATTAGAGGTGTTTGTGGGGTTTCCATTGCAGTGGTGGAGACCCTGTCCGCCAGTGCCATGATCAAAAAGTCCACATGTGGTACTGTCTGCCGTCCTCTTTCTGTGGCAGGATCCGGATTGTCTGATCTCATCCACAGCGACTGAGTAGAGAGGTTCCTGGGGGACATCACTGGCTGTCATGGTGCCGGCAGTTATGATGATTCTCAGCCAAAAGGGTTAGGGTTGTACTAACACGCCTTGTTTTCTTTACCCCTTTTCCGTCGGCCGCTTCCGTCCTTGCCATGGAATGCTTGACCATTGCTTGTTTCCCTTCACCTCTCGAGTTAGTGCCCGAGCTGGAGCAGCGAGCGAAAGCAGTCCACCCTGTGCCTCATCTGAACCGTTTCCCCCAGCCCTCAATGTTTATTTTCCGGGAAGGTGGTGTCCACTCTCCCTAGTGCATACTGCCTAGGTAAGGTAGGTACCTGGTACTCACTGCCAAGTATTTCTGGCCAGTGGGGCCGCAAAACTCGCCCCCTCCCCCTTACAACCACAGTCGCCATTCTTGTTGCACTGGTTGGCAGTATGGCATCCCTCAGTTTGGTGCAGAGTGATATGGCTAAAATTTAGATTCTTGACTGGCTTTTTGGCGGGGGTAGGGCGTGCTCTCGTGTTCGAGGTTATTTGATGAAGACAGGAGCGTGGTTCGAAGTCGAGCTGCGAGCGAAGAGGCACAAACTTGCCGCGCGACTCGACATTCCAAGCGGGCACCCGGAAGTTTTAGCTTGCCAAGAACTTCGGCGATGGCGATCCCTGCAGCGCATCTAATGCGCCTCCGGGATTGCCCCCGTTCCCGCTAGCTTCGCCATTGGCAGCATCCAGAACTGCGGCTGGCGGCATCTCGAACTCATCTACCGCCCCCGACCGAACCAAGCAGCCAGGACAGCGCAACCACGACCGCCCAGAAAAGCTTGCAGAGCTTGCTCATGGCACGATCATCCCTCCCGCGTCGCATCTTCACCGAAACCAGAATGTCGATCGGCTTAGCGAGCATGGATTGCAAGGGACACCCGAGCGGCGAGGGCCGTTGCAAGCCTCGGAACCACGGTGCTGTGGCGGGATATCCTCGTTCTAGATACGCACGCTCGAAGGGGAAGCTACCCGGATTCATCTCCGCGTTTATTGGTCCAGGCGCCGTATGTCACAGCTGCTTAGTCTGAGGCTCTTGTTGCCCGGCCACATGGTAATGAGGGAATCACCAGCATTCCTGTGAGCCTGCGGGGCATCACCGCCGTTACCGCACAGGCGGAGGGCTTTTATATTTATAGGCTTGTTCTTCCCCGCGGATTTCGATCCCGAACTGTTCAGACGACCATCTCCATTTGGCACAAGGTTCCAGAAGCCATCGGGCTGTCCCAGTAATCTTGTCGACCAAGTCCGCTTCTGGTCCCGCTGTGGCTGAAGATTTGTCCTTCGGCATCGAAAAGCAGGGTCTTGAGGCTCCTGTTCTCGCCAAGAGCGATGACTACGGGGTCGGCATCACCGCCGATGGCGAAATCCCGACCGAAGAGGAGCTGAAGACCCTCCGCCGCGTTTCCGACAAGATTCCATTCAGCACTACACCATCGCATTCATCGAGCTGTGCGAGCGCTTCTCCTATTATGGCACAACGGCCGTGTTTACCAACTTCATCCAATGTGAGTGGTGCAACTCGTGCCTCGGTCGGCTTGAAGTGCGCTAACATGACCCCAGGGCCGCTGCCTCCTGGGTCAACAACTGGTGCCAATTTTGGTACGGGGCAAGCTGGTGCGCTTGGCCTTGGGCAACAAACCAGCACTGCCCTGACAACTTTCAATGCCTTTTGGCAGTACTCAATGCCTCTGTTCGGTGCCTACGTTGCCGATAGCTGTCTTGGACGCTTCAACACCATCGCTCTGGCTCTCGGCATTGATATCATCGGTCACGCCGTCCTCGTTACATCTGCTCTTCCCCTGATCATCAAGAATCCCGATGGAGCCATGGCGGCTTTCATTCTCAGCATCATCACCATGGGCCTTGGTACTGGTGGTTTCAAGCCCAACGTTAACCCTCTGATCGTGGAGCAGCTCGACTTGGACCACATGATTGTCAAGACACTGCCCGATGGCGAGCGCGTTGTTGTTGATCCTCCCCTCACGGCTAGCGGAGTCTATCACTACTTCTATCTCTTCATCAATATTGGTGCCCTCATTGGCCAGATTTCGATGGTTTAATGCGAGTATTACGTCGGATTTTGGCTGTCCTACACACTGCCAACCATCATGCTTTGCTTATGCCCCCTGGTCATACTCTGGGGCCGCAAGCGCTACAAGCGGGTTCCCCCTCAAGGCTCCATTCTCGGCAAGGCATTTAAGCTTCTCAGGCTTGCGCTCAAGGGAAGGGTGTCCATCAACCCCGTCCGGACATTCAAGAACATCCGCAGCGATGACTTCTGGGAGACTGTAAAGCCTTCTGAGCTAGGTGCCAACAAGCCGAAGTGGATGGACTTCAATGATGCCTGTGAGTCTCACCTCTTAGCGTTCTTTTTGCCACGGCCAGGTTACTAACTCTCCGCTTGTAGGGGTTGATGAGATTGCCCGTGGCTTCTCTGCTTGCGCTGTCTTGTGGTATCCGCTTTATTGGATCTGCTATAACCAGAGTGGGTTATTCAACACCACATTCCCGGCTCAATTGCTAACTTCGTCCTTGCTAGTTAACAACAGCCTCATCTCCCAGGCTGCCGTCATGCGACTTGGCGGCATTCCCAACGATGTGTTGACCAACCTCAACCCATTCGCTCTGATTATCCTCATTCCAATCATGGATACGATTGTCTATCCCAGCTTGCGTAAAATCGGTATCCATCTTACGCCTCTCAAGCGCATCACCGCTGGTTACTTCGTGGCTGGATGCTCGATGATCTGGGCTTGTGTCCTCCAGTACTACATTTATCAACGCAGTGAGTGTGGAAAATACGCGTCACAATATCTCGATGCCGAAAAGACGATGCGTTGCTCCAACGTCGACATCAGCGTCTGGGCTCAAACGGGCTCGTACGTGCTTCTTGCTCTATCCGAGGTTCTGGCTTCCATCACTTCGCTTGAGTATGCGCACAGCAAGGCGCCCAAGTCTGCGCGTTCCATGGTACAAGCTGTGTGCTTGTTCATGAATGCCATCGCCAGCGCTATTGGGTTCGGTCTCGTTACTCTTGCCAAGGACCCCTCGCTCGTCTGGAACTTTGCTGTTCCTGCTTTCTTGGCGTTCATCGGTGGTTCCATGTTCTGGCTGCAGTTCCGAAAGCTAGACCAAGCCGAGGATCGTCTTAACATGCTGCCCTCAGCTGCGGTTGGAGTCGAGACTGATGTATATCAGCCAGTGACTGAGGAGATGAAGGAGAAGCAGGAATCTCATACTTAGGGTCCCTTTTGATAGGGGCATTGGGATCTCGGGGTTTGCATGATTGGGCTGGCATGTCTGGGGTTCATGTGATATCAGCCTTAAGTGGCACATTTTACTTCTGCGTGACAGTGTCGACTTGATATGATCTTTATCCTCGTCGTATAATGTATTAAATTTCTTCGGCATTTGTTCTGGATTCTCTATCATGATGTCGCTATGCGCGCTGAAGAAGAAACTGAATAGCATGGTCTGAGACCTTCTGGAAGGTTGGGTTCATCACATCCAAAAACAGCCTCTGCCTGCACACCCATCCTCATGAACATTACAGCAGCCAAAAAGAACAGGTACGATATTGGGTTGCTCGATAACAGGATTGAACCTTTTGCCTTCGCATTACAGGATACAGATGAATTAATACCGTTCTGTGTTAGTACGACGCTCTAACCAGCTGGGCTAATCAAGCTTGAGGTCTTTTCTTGTTGTTGAGGTTGGGGTTGGGAAGTGAAAATTATGACGGGTGGATGTTGTACTGGAGTGGTGGATGATGTTGGCTGGGATGGGCGCTGTTGATGTGCGCGTGGTAGAGAAGACGCTGAAAGGTTATGACGGTAGAACCCAGGTTCTTTTCAAGGGATGATTCGTGAGTTTAAATAACGTCGTTGGGCGCGATGGCTGTCTTTGATCGGCCTCATCGTAGCTTGGCCGGGAAAAGGTGCTGCGTACCTTACCCTGTAGCTTATATCGGGGGTGGTATCCGCCATGACACATTTCAATGAGCAAATGCCATGCAGAAACAGGTCAGTTCTAGGTATAGAGGCTATCTAGAAGGCTTTGTGTTTGCGACACGAATCTAGAAAGTCGACAATTGTTGATGCAGATGCTGGACTTCTATCGCGACTGGAGTATGGCCGTAATCGGCCGTAGAAATGCTTGTTGGGTTCCTGAACTGTGAAAAAATCGACTCGCTACCTCCCTCGACCTAAACCGGGTCTTCTAATACCGTCTAACATTTCTAATGGTTTCCGTTGTTGGATGCTAGGTTGTGGATGCTGAGAATTCTCGTGTTAGCTCGACTCGATCTAATGGCTTATAGATGAGCATACCTGATGTCTTCGCGGTTCTCAGGGCTCCTCAGTCCATTGTTTACCACAACCTCCTCTATCGTTCTCAAATCGAGCTTGACTCTCGCTCCCGGCTGTGAGACGCTGACAGGGCCGCTGTTTCCAACCAGAGCCGAATTGGCTTCGTCAGCGCCAGCCATCTTGCGCTTCTTGCCTCGGCTCTCGTTTAAGTGCTCGAAATAGCCCTCGGGGACTTCGGTCTTGTAAGTGCCACAGAACACGCCCACCTCGAAGTCCTTGATCTCGGAGTTTGGCGACGCCTCAGCACACGCCGCTTTCAGAGCATCGAGATCCTGGTAAATAACATCGTCGGCGTTGATATGCTTGGCAATGTCTTGCCTCGTCTTCTCGTGCGCAATCAACTCTTGTGGACTGGCAAGGTCGATTCCGTACTATTGACAAGAGTTAGTGTCTGCGCAGAAAAAGCTAGATGATGGACAACTCACAATATGAGGATGCTTGATAGGAGGCGCACACGAAGCGAAGATGACCTTGCATGCGCCAGCTTCACGTGCCATGCTGACAATCTCTCTGCTGGTGGTGCCGCGGACGATGGAGTCATCCACTAGGCACACGACACGGCCGTTGAATTCGGACTCCATGGCGCTCAGTTTGCGCCGCACGCTCTTTTGCCGGGCCTTTTGGCCTGGCAGAATGAAAGTCCGATACACGTAGCGGTTCTTGACGAAGCCGTTCGAAAAAGGCTTGCCTAGCCTCTCAGAAACGACGGCAGCGGCTGTGTTGCTGGTCTCTGGGACGGGAATGATAACGTCAATCTCCTTGATTCCTTCCTCTCCCAGGATTTCCTTAATCTTATCCGCGAGCTTGGCGCCCATGTTCTGACGACTGCGGTTGATGGAGATGCCGTCCATAACCGTGTCTGGCCGGGCGAAGTAGACATACTCGAAGATGTCGGGAGCGTAGTTCTGCTTCTTTGCCACTTGGCGGAACTCTGGCTTTCCGCCTTTTTGGATGAAAACTGCCTGCCCAGGGAGGATATCCTGGAAATTCTTGAAGCCTAATTGGCGGAGAGCGATGCTCTCAGACGCAAACATGTAGTCGGCACCTCCCTCCAGCGTCGCCGACGGACGGCTTCCCATGATGAGGGGTCGGATGCCGCTCTGGTCGCGGAAGGCACCGATGCCGAAGCCAGCAACCATGAGCGCGCCGGCCCATGCGCCCCTGCACTTCTCGTATGTTTGCGACACGGCACTGAAAATATCATCTACGTTCACGCGGACCTTTCCAGTCTCATTGAGAGCGTTGGCGAAGATGTTGAGCATGAGCTCGCTGTCCGAGTCGGTGTTCACATGTCGATGCGCCTCCTTATCGAGGTAGCTGCGCAGTTCAGGGGCATTGATCAGGTTGCCGTTATGCGCAAAGCAGATCCCGTAGGGCGAGTTGACGTAAAAAGGTTGGCTCTCCGCGCTCTGGCGGACGGTTAGCTCAAGCTTACATCCACAAGCAAAAGATGTAACCAAAGGTGGAGAGGTGGCCGTACCGAACTTGTGCCAGCGGTGGGATAGCGCAAATGAGCGATGCCCATATATCCGGGCAGATCATTTACGCGCTTTCCGTCCTCAAAGACTTTGGACGCCATACCGTTCCCCTTGCACTGGAATATCCTGCCACCAGCGGCGCAAGTGGCTATTCCGCAAGCATCTTGACCGCGGTGCTGGAGGTAGTACAGACTCTCGTGTAAGTCAACCGAGGCATCCGCGTTGCCAGAGTCGTTATCAGCGAGGATCAGCCCGAGAATGCCACACATCTTGCCGGCTGTTCTCGTGGCAGCTGGAAAGCAGGCGTCGAGGCAAACAAGACAATATTCAAATTCTCGACAAAACTTGGGTACCCAGGGATCGGGCCGTGGGAGGCGCGCCAAGCGAACGGCCGAGATCGGTTCGTGGAGGCGTGGAGACGGTGATGGGTGCTGAGGTGTGGATGCGGGGGAGGAGGCGTGTAAGTGAAAGGGAGAGGATTGGTGACCACTCAGGAATCGCAAGCCATCATCACAGGAAGAGAGCCCGAGGATTAAAAGGCGGTGGCGACTGGGAATGGAGTCCTGGAGCCATTTCTGGCCACAAGTTCAACGTCTTGCCGGTTAATCTGCAAGGCAAGCGACTCAATGCCATGGAGGGGAAAATTTTAAGACATGAGGGGCTCAATGTGGGGCAGCACATGGCTTTCTTATCGAGATTGGCGAGATCTTTGGCCGCTTATTGGCCCGCTGTCAACGGTTGCACTGACCTTCCTCGTGCGACCTCAGAGCTTTCCATCAGCCACAAACCCGAATGTAAGCGGTTCCTCAACCTCTTGGCTCAAGTTTTTTTCCGAGCTTGGATTGGAGCTTGGATTGATGGAGCAACATCATCCGGCCCGATACGGCGAGTGTCAAACAGGACGAACTGGAAGAAAACAATAACATGAGGTCTGCGGGTGCTCGCCTGCCCAACTGCCAGTCTTGCCCTCACTGGCGTGGTAGGGGAAGAGCGGACGGGATCCCAAGTCCTCCAACGGTTATGATCGTATGCGGCAGGCGGTGTTGCAGCCAGATGGTTCAACGGGTCACCCGTTAGTACCAGGTGCCGCCAAAAAGCCACCAGGTTGGCATCGGTGGCAACTCCGCCGTTGAAGATAAGTCCTAGGCCATCGCCAACTCTCGTGTGTCGAATGAGGCCCCCGTTAGACTAGGAGATAGTCAATGGCGGCAAAAATGTGAACCCTTGTCTCGTGGGTACAATAGTTCCCAAAAATCACTAGGCCTGCTCAAATATAGCCACCCTGCCTCCAACGGGGTTTGAAAGATTGGAGAGTCAGACTTACAAGGCGTGGCACCTTCCACGTCCAATGTCATTTCATGCTGGCCCCATGTTTATGATGATCCTGCCCCCCGATAAGCCCACGACAGGATAATCTGTCTGACGGGAGGCAGTGTAACCACCTAAATCGTACCAACTAGGAATCGGCGCAGCTGGTTCGGTGTCGGGACTGGGGTCCTGATATCAGACCGTTGCGGGAGGTTCCACAACTTGCTGATGGGTATTAAGAATGTAATCTTGGGGCGTAGGTATTACTTCTTCCTAGAAAACGGTATTTTAGAGCGCCTGTGGCCTTATCGTAACCCCAAAGTCGATAACTGGAGCAGCGCCCAACGATGAACAATTACCAGGGAGGGGAATAAGGCGCCCCGGTCAATGCATGTAGTGCGGCATCCAACGGTGCCGGCTCTTGGACGACGGAAGGATGGAATGATGGGCTGAAAGCGGTGTCGCCGGCAGTTCTAAATCATGACCCCATGCGTGAAAGTCTTCTATTTTTTTTTTTATGGTTTAGCCAACTATAGGCCACCGTCGGGTATTATATCACGATTGCGTTCTTGCCGCGTTTCAGATCGCTGCACATGGACCTTGAAAGACGATGTTGGCCCAACTCGAAGGTGGCGGGGGCCTATCCCAAAGACCATGTTGGTGTCAGCATCGTGTTCTATCTGGGGTCCGAATCCAACACATTCAGTCAAGTGAGGCAATGCTTAACTATTTTTGTGTTCTGGATTGAGCGTCGAAGGAGCCCAGCCCATAGAGTGCCGCGCCGCACCTGTATTGTAGCATGGCGGGAGGATTCTGCATCACTGTTAGCCGCGGCGCCCTAAACGGTGACACAAGAAACAAGCGCCGTGCTGCCCACCTTATCCAGAGTGTATATACCAGACGTGATGGCTGGGGATAGGAGACGATTACAATATGCTGTCAAGCAGTTCATGCTGTATCGGTCAACAGCCAGCTATACCGCCTTCCGCAAGTACCTAGGCTACGCTTCCTCGTTCAAGGAATACCCGGCTGAGGCAGAGAGGGCCCCGAAGACCAAAGCCGCCATATTCGAGGACGGACGATGGAGCGTGTCCGAGGCCGAACGGAAGACCTCAACTCCATCTCTGGCAGGCTGTTTTCGTGGATTTCGTGACCCAGCACATGTGATTCTCGCAGCATTCGGAAAACACCGATGTAGTAGACTGAAAGAAAAACCGTCTCAATGCCCCTGGAATTGGGGCGTGCAGCGGGCGTCGCGGCTAGCGGCATGGGGGCGAAAAATGAAGTAGATGGAGAAGTAAACGTGCTCTTCAACAAGGGACGACTAGATGAGCCAGTCTGCCCGGCCCACCATGTTTTTCGGGCGTTCTGTAGACCAACACGGCCTATGTAAGCGCTTGCTTTGCATGGCCGACCATGAGTAAGGCGAGGCCGACTTCCACTAGAAAGGGATGCAGATGCAGATGGCCGGCTACCGTTTTCATTTGAAGACTTCATCTCACAGTAAAGCTCTCCCGACTCCGTCAGTAGGGGGG